AAAAAAAAAAAAAAAAAAAAAAAAAAAAAAAAAAGAACGAATCGATCCGGGAGTCGAGAGGATGTTTCAGTGGACGCGCATATAAGTCTAAGAGAAAGGCTTTGGGTTCACCCCAATCGTAAGCTTAACGATATACACGCTTCTACATTATAATACAGTTCTCGTTTCTTCTCTTTCTTCCCCTAGCGATCTTTGCCACGCCGACGCATGCACCTCCACCGTCGCTAGATGTCATTTAACGTCTCTTCTTTGAGTTGCTTAGAAAAACACGTGTGAAGAATTGTGGGTCGATAAGTTCGTTGGACATGCGTTATTTACTTTATCGATAGAGTACGGGTGCCATCGGAAGGAAATGCATCGCACGCGTTAGCAAAGAGCACCGTAGATCTGTCATTACGAAAACGAGGACGGTTCGGATGTAACAAATGATGATCGTATCCTTTCCTCGAGGAGTGGATTAATATTCGGTATTTCCGCACGTTCCCGCTGGTAAAAAGGACACGATCGTCAAGGATGATCCTGTATTCCTAACGAGACGTTTCTTTCTTCGTCAAATAACGCAAAAATGACCGGCATTGTACGCGTTTATTCGACAAATCGTACAATTATAATCGCTACTATAATTGCATTTGCCTGGTACTGTAAACACAGCTATGAATTGCACTTTGCCCCCCAAGAAGATCGAAACAAACGACTAGTTGTGATATATCCTCACAGGATCGATCCTTCGTTCGGATCGGTAACGATCCACGCGCGTATGGAACATCGTTACCGATCCACGGTGATCCGAGCCGGGTCGATAAGTATCTCAACGACTTATCGACGATCGATCATGATTTCTTTCTCCCTTCCTTCTCCTTTTCTTTAACCTATCTAAAAAGATTTCTACGACACGATACATGTTAGGATCAAGACGCCCGCACAAATATGTACAATATGTTTTAAGAGGCGGCTGCATAAAAACGTACGTTGGGACACGGTTCGCGTTCAGGAATCATATCAATTCTGCCCATCTGTTTCTCATCGTTTTGCATTGCTTTTTGATTACCTTCCTACTACCGTTTGATATAAAAAAATCGCTTCGTTAAACAAGGGCCCCGATAATAAATTCATCGATCATCCATCTAGCATATTTTATCGTTCATCGCTTTTTCTTCGCTTTATCGTTTCGTTTGAGCGCAATTAGGTAATGCTAACGATTAAGTACTACACTGTACGTATGCGGAACAACGGTAATTAATGATAAAAATCGTTTAGCAATTGTGCTGGACGCTGTACGCGTCTTAGTTACAGGGTATTGCCATAGGTGTCTTACTTAACTGTACATATTTTCTTCCTTATCCTCTGATTTTACATAATCGCAAGGATCGCCTATCCGTATCCTTTCTTCGTTTTCTTTCGCGCGTCGCGATCGTTCCGCCTATGTTTCGCTAGCATCTTCCCTACGAGCGATATACGACGCGAATTGTGTTCGGTAGAGATGGAATTTGTCGACAGGAATGAAAATTCGCAGACGGCGTACAGAAAGATTCGACATCGTGGATTACAATCGGAAACCGAACACCGAAAACGGTAAGCAACGTTGCGTGAAATAATGGCGGACACTGGTCACGTGACCAACGCGGCAGGCTCGTCGCGCGAACAGATTGACGATTAAAACTTGCAACACGGTGAACATTGAACAAATTTATACCTTTTATTATTACTTTATACGAATATATAAGAATTTCTTTTGTTTTTATACGCAAAATGGAAAGGTAGAATGGAAAAGAAAAGGTTGAATCAGAGGAGACGCGACATCGTGCGAGCAAAAAACGACGGAAAAGTCGAGATATTCTTTTTCGTTATAGCAGAGGACAAGTAGATTCTCGATTACACGTCCTGAATCACCATTATCGTGTCACCCTCGTCGTAACGCAGCTGAAACGACCATCACAATGTTGTGAACAGCGGTAACGGATAATATACCTCGCGTATATCAACTTTACCAACGGTTCCGATTTTTATTTCGCTTTCTTCACTCCGAAAAACACTCACTCACGCTTCTTATATACTTTGTAATATATTTTTCTTTTCCGTTTCGATAGTGACGCGATGTGAGAATATTAAATAGCATCGGCAACGTCGTTAACGATAACGATAATAATTAATAGGAATAATGATATAATAATAATCATGATAATAATAATAAGAATAATCACATAATGACAATAATCAAATAAGTAAGAATTACCGTATCTCACGATGATCGTAACAATAATCATAATAATAGTTAATTAACGCTATATCATATGTATAATATTTATATAATAAGAATAAGTACAACTTGGTAGCAAAGAGAGATAGAATTATATTATTCACTGTATATCTTTATCCATAGTGAGAAGAGATGTATATATATATACACGCAGACACATACACACGATATTTGCGTTTGTGTATATATACATATATCTTATTTAATTCATTTCATTATAATAATATTCTTTCATTATCTTTATTATGTTTCAGACCGTAATTCTTGCACGCCGCCATCCACGTTTGCCCGCCAGAAGTAGCCTTTCCCTATCACGCTTTCCCCATTTTCTTTCCTCTAAATATTTCGCTACGGAGCACACTGCAGCCCCAACGTGACTTTCCATTGCGTCTTCCACGACAGCGGCAGCTTTTCGTCGCGATACCCGCTCGCCTTCTCCCACTTTCCATCGATCCCTAAAGAGAGGAGGTAGAAAAAACAGCGAAAACGACGAGAAAGGCCCGCGACTCGATCGCGAAACCGCTTTATTACTAGAAATATTACACGATAAGGAGCGTGGCACAGCCTCGACGCTAAATCGTTCACGGGGCTCGCCACGGCCGGAGAAAATGGCGTCGTGGGGACGCGACGAAAAGCGCGGGAGTACCTTAACGAATGAAAGGGAGGTAACTAAAGCGTGACAAACACGGGAAAATATCGAGAATCAAATATACAACTGGCGCAGGAAGGTTCTCAGAAGCGGGTAATCGAGAGAGAGAGAGAGAGAGAGAATGAAAAAATTCACGAGAAACTAGCGCCTTCGCGGCGAGCGATACAGGTGGCGCCACGGTGGTGAGATTCTTGACTACAGTCGAGCTTAAAACGAAAAATCGGTACGCATATAACGCATAGCACGAAACGAAGGTTGAACGACGAACCGAATAACTTATTAAAATTAATCAGATATATCGACGCTTTGACCAGAACTATAGTTACATAGTGGGGTAATAGGTGGTCTCGGAGCGAAAAGACCGCAAGAATCGTAAAGGAATTATATTTTGGCACTGATACCCGTCAGCTTGAACTCAACACGCTCGCGGAGCTGGGAAGAACCAGCATTGGGAAGTCACGTGTTCCGAGATTCGATCTCCCTGCTGGTGACTTTATGGCACATTGAGTATCCTCCTTAAAACGCATCGACTCCGTGTCGAGACTATACGGCGTCTCGCCTTTCTTGCGTCCAGCAGGCCTACAAGAAAAAGAAAGAGAAAGAAAAGGACGAAGAAAAGGACAAAAGCTACAACGTAACTACGTGACAACGCTGTCATTCGTCCACCCTGCGATTCACTCGAATATCAAACTTTCAGAGACCGCAAAGGCTTCACTTCCGGCAGCAGGTACAGGCAGCGTGCCGCTGTGGCCCAGACTTACGTCGGATAGTAGCAAGAACACACATTAAAATCATAGAAGATCAACGCTATTAGACGTGTTATGCAAATCGCTGTCCGCTTCATTTCCCCTTTGGTTTTCCCTCCAATCATTCCACGCTTCAGAGGACTTCAGATCTGTGGATGCTCGTCACGGCATTCCCCTTTTCACCCGTTTCATCTTTCCTCATCCCGTCCATCTCGTCTGGTACGTCGAATGACCCGTACACGACGTGGATACGCACACACGCGGATTGGTCGAGCGTTTTCCCCGATTCTTCATCTTGGTCTCTCCCCGGGAACCCGATTCCCGTTTCGTTTCACCTTTTCAAACGCCATCCAGACTGGCTGGTGCGAGGGTTTGCGCATCACACGTCCAAAAGGAGCACACATGTCATGGTTTATCGATATAATGTATAATATGCGTTATAGATCCTTCATGCGCGATCGAGGCCCACGAAGCCTCCGCGAGATTCCTCTGCCTCGTCGAGCGTGCCATTTTACCGTCGATCCTTTCGCCAATATCGTCGATCATCGCGAACGATCGCTCGCGAGATGGTGGCCGACCGGTCGCGCGGGATCGGCGAACGAGCTCCCGTCGAACGAGACTTTAAAATACCACCCGGGTAAAGATTGGTCGGGGAGAGAAGTTAAAAACTCTTGGAAGGTGTTGAGAAGTAATAGAGATCGATTAAAATTCCTAACGCGCGAATGTCTCGGCGAAATCGTGAAATCGACGACTCGTTAGTTTAAAGAGAATTTTCGATGTTTAGAACACCGACGGAGATTCTCTAAGGGAAGGTAAATGGTTATCTGCGAACTGATGGGGCAAGTGGGAAAGTTCGCTGGACTGTATTCCGTGGAAACCTTGGTCCATGATCGGTACCGGCTAATTCCGTGATCGGAGAACGTGGTCGCTCCGTTGCTCGGCTCTTCTATCGCTACGCTATCACTGGTTGTCACCGGAATCGGTTGATCCAGGTTTACAATGGTTCTCTTAAGCTTGACTGTGTCCCTGTGCCCGTCTGGGATCGTTTTCTCGCCCCCGATCGTTTCTACGCGATCGGGTATCGGTCTGCCACTTGGCCGATCGGAATGAGCCGGTTTCGTGATCAGAAGCTGTCGTCAGTTTCTGCGGGTATACAGGCAGCGGGTGTAGAGCTATTCGCGTGATAAAAAAACGTGTGGATCCGATTGGGACTACGATAAACTCGTTGAATTCGTTCGAAAGCAACGCGCTGCCACCGCGGTGGCGGGCAACACACATTGCGCTTCCGGTGGGCGGAAAAGGACGCGCTCGACGTGCGATGTTCCCTTCACGTGCCGCGAGAACCATCATCATCATCGTGTATCGTATCGATAGTAGTGATGATCATCGTAATAATTAGTAATAATAATCATAATAATAATCATAGTAATAATAATAATATTAATTAATTAATTAATAATATATTTATAATATATATGCGTATATTAAATAAATTCTCCGATATAACTTACGACTTAATCCTAAAGCTTAACTCGACTTAAGATTTAAGTAACCCCGCCCCCATTTTTTTTTTTTCTTTTTGCGCGCGCGGGGGGATGCCCGTGCACCCTCCAGGGCGAACTCCTTAAGAACCTAGCTGAATTCTAAAACCGGAAGCTCCGCCGTACCGACAGGCCAGCTGCCTGTAAATTTTTCTCTTTTATTTTACTTCCCCTCCCCTATCCTCCACCTTCCTCCTATCCCGTTTCCTCGTCGCCTCTCTTCTTCACCCCCCTCTCGCCCAACGACTTTCTCTCTCGTTCTCATCGCTTATACCTCGTTTCCGTTTCTCTACTTCTCTCATTCTCTTTGGCGGAGACCGCTCGTCCGTGGTTTTCCTTTGTCTCTAGCCTCGATCGTTATTCGCCTCGCGTACAGGAAGTCGAACGACAACGCTCCCTTCCGTTCCCTGTACCCGTCCGATCCGAGAAGTTAAACGATCGCCAAGTACCATCATCGAACCATCCGTGCGCCATCCCCGCGCATCGGGATCACGGACAAAAGATCGGTCAGCCAGTAGCGAGACACGCTCAGCCTCCCCTCACTCGCTCCGTGTCTACGCGCGTCCAACCCTATACCTTCGAGCGCATCAACGACCACGACTCTCCCTTCATCGTCGCAGTACCATCCTCGTGCTACCATAGCGCGATCCCTTCGCGACGCCATCTCGTTTGACTTCCCGTCGATCCACCATCGGACCACGCATACACACGGAGACCGCGTCTTGCCTCCCCACGAACAAACCCACGTCGCTCGCTCCAGCGCTACCGAGGCGCCCTCTAAGTCGTGATCCAACGCGACCACGGGTCGGAGAGCGGCAGGAGAAGGTCGTACGAGTCGTCGTCCGCAGGGAGGAAGAGGACGAAAGAGACGAGGGCACGGCGGGCGCGCAGCTCCACTCGCGAGGCGAACGCAGCCCGCTTCGGCCGCGAGCCGAACGGAGCCAGGCGACCCGTCGTCGAACACCTCCATCCGGGACACCTGTCGCAGCAGCAGCTGCCGGGACGCGAGCAACATACGCGACGACGGCGACGCTCGTTGTGACACGTCCATCCGCATCCTCCGCAACTCTCCCTGGCTTCCCTGTCTCGTGGCTGTCCCCGTGGCTCCCGTTCTTCCGCGCGGCGGCACCTTCTCGGCTCGACGAACGGCACGCTGGCGATAACAACCGGGGGTGAGAGACGAGCGATGGTTTGGCTCTTTCGGCGGTGGCGGCGACAGCACTGGGACCTTAACACCCATCCTTGCCACCTGAAAAACGTGCAACGCTGGCCTCGTCTTTGTTCCATCACGCTTTGCCGGCCGAGTTCTTGCTGAACATCGATGTGACGGGTCGTTGGATCGGGGGTGGGGGTTGTTCGGTGGGTTTTCATTGTTGGATCACGGTTCTCTTTGTGCTCTGACTAGAATCGTTTTCGGAGGGAGCTGAGAGACAGAGAAGATATATAATGGAAAGATAATAGGAATGCAGAGCAAGATAGCGGTTAGCTCGTGGTAGGTGTTTGCGTTCACAGGGAGGTTGCGCTGCGGGGTTGAAAATCGAAGATTTTGGTTCTTCGATGGTTCCACTTCTTCATTGGGTTTGGCTTGTATCGGTTTTAGAAGGAGGTTTAGGTAGGTGTACGATGGGAGAAATAGCAATAATAGGATTGGTCGTTGATGTTTAATGGGGTTTAATTTGGTGGAGGATGAAAGTCGAAGATTTTGGTGGCTCCTGGCAAGAATTGTTTCGCTGCTCTTTAACGCGCTGAACGCCATGCCGATTTTACGTGCCATTCCATTTCGTTCACGCCACAGTTAGCCATCATGCGGGCCCTTTCGGGCCATACAGACCGGCAACCGCGAACGGAAAATCCCTAGAGGTCGGCGTGGCGTTTAACGCGTTAAACGACAATAATGCTAAAGTGGTTCATATTTTCTTTCATATTTTTAGATCCAAAGGACAGTCTCGGAGTTGACATAGCTTTTGCAACTAGTTCAAAACGAAACTGGCAACTTCGATGACCATAATCTTTGACTTTCGAACAGGTGCCAACCCAGTTGCATTGGTTCGCAGGATAATATACGATATGAAAGGACTCGGAAGGGTTCTTTCGTTGGGTCCCCCAAAAGAACCCTAATTTCTGGAAACGAGCGGATCGAAGCGGTCGCTGCAAGGGTCTTATGGCCGATTATCCGATGGAAAAGTGTCGGTGCTGTGTCCCTTGGGGAACACGGAGGAACAACTGTGCGCGAAGTTGTGCGACTCTATCGATCTTCTTGTACGGCCTGTGCAGCCTTGACGTTTAGCATGCGGTGAATTTCGTTCGAGGGAACCATCTATCTCAGCCAAATCTTTCAATTTACTCTCTCCAACCCTTCAACAGTATCTCGATTAAGAATTATCGAGATGAGGAAAAGCAATTTCTTCTTCAATTTCTGTTATTTACTTTTTACGAATTTTTCTACTCGTTACAGACATCCCACGTAATCCCCATAGGGGACTTTTTACCTAATATCTACGATATACTTCAAAGATATACCGTTGAAGGGTTGATCACGGGAAACCAATGCAAAGGGTAACGAATGTTATCAATTTTTGGTGCACATATTCGGTTAGTATCTTGTTCTTTTGTTAAAGGGTTTTGTTCCTTTTCGATCCTCTCGTTGCGACGATTATGTACCTCTTATTATCAGCAGCGGCTGTTAATGGCCGCCAAGCGTTCCTGCCTGTTTTCAGAGGCCCAAGGTCTGACGCTAAACGGCCGCAACTACTTTGCCTTGAATTCCGTTCAGCAGCGGACAGTTACCGTGAAGACAATATCGCTCAAACTTTGATGAATGTTAGCAAGTTTGGCAGAGTTCGTGCCTCGAGGAGCGGGTGCTGCAGCCGCGTCTGATACACTAATTTGTATTTCCAACGAGGAACAAGCCTCGTTTACGTGCTCTCCATTACCCGCGATACTTCTATCACAGGTTCTAACTTAATTCACCAAGATAGACGATAACGGAATGGAATCGAAGAAGGCGGTTCTATTCGAGGCACCGAGAGAATGAAAAATCAGCGGGAACAGGAGGAACAGCGGACGGAAGACCCAAAGACGTCGTGAAGGAGGAACGATGTTCAGCAGAGAAGAAGATCACGGCTGGCAAAGTGTTCTCCCCGGGTCGACACTCGTGCAACACGCAACAGGAAGCTGTGAATCCACGTGTCAGCTCTACTACCTCTCCAGGTTAGTCGTGACCCCATAACCCAAGTGCCAAGTTAATAGACCAGGCGACACAGGGTGAACGGACAACTCGGGATTACCATATTTTGGTGCGTATCGTGCGTGGAGAGTTAATCGGTGTACAATATCGAGCTGTTTCGTTAACAGTTTTCGATACACGATCACTCGTGGAACTTCTTTCGTTCGTTCTCTGATATCATCTACTCTTTCCAGCGAAACGACCAATCGACTCGTCGGATACTAGAGAGTTTTCATTTCTGATCGTCATGTCGACGTTTTGGCTGCTCCTTTCGCTACTTCCCATCGAATACTCGGCCCTGTCTCGTTCGACGAACGACCTCGCGAGAATCGTTCGTCGATCGCTCGTGGATCCTGCGAACCCTGTCCGTGCCTGGCTAGGCAGGATCCACGCCTCAGGACCAAGGATCCTGGTCTAATAAACGGAGCGAAGACAGAAGTCGAGAGAGAGAGAGAGTGTGGAAACGCTCTCCCTGTCAGGATCATCCACGTGGGTGTGATGTGTACCTTGATTGGACGAGTGTGAGGCTCACGATTGCGGTTGCGGTGTGTTGTGGTCTCGCTTGTCTGCCGCAGGAGCCGGCGGCTTTATCACGGGCTTCTCCTCGTTTACCGGTGTGGGCGGGGCGTCCTTTCTTGGTGGCATCCTTTCGTTTATAGCGTCCAGACCCTTTGCCTCGGCGAACGAGGTGATTTTGTGGTTCGGCGAGAAACCTTGGAGAGCTGCGAACAATAATTCGCGAGTTGTGATCAACCATCGGACTTCGAATGGGGTACAGGAAGGATGGGGGGAGTGTGTAATTCGAATGGAACGGTAGGGACGAGGTGCAGGGGGATTTGGATTAGGGTACGTCAACACAGAGGATTCTTCAGTGGAGTAAATATATAGGGGGAGTCGTCCTTCACGGTTGTTCTAGTCGACTAGGTTGCAGGTATCCTCGTTGCGATCAACACCATCAGACTTTGAATGGGGTACAGGAAAGATGGGGGGAGTGTGTAATTCGAATTGGACGGTAGAGAAGAGGTGCTGGGGGATTTGGATTAGGGTACGTCAACACAGAGGATTCTTCAGTGGAGTAAATATATAGGGGGAGTCGTCCTTCACGGTTGTTGTAGTCGACTAGGTTGCAGGTATCCTCGTTGCGATCAACACCATCAGACTTCGAATGGGGTACAGGAAGGATGGGGGGAGTGTGTAATTCGAATGGAACGGTAGGGACGAGGTGCTGGGGGATTTGGATTAGGGTACGTCAACACAGAGGATTCTTCAGTGGAGTAAATATATAGGGGGAGTCGTCCTTCACGGTTGTTGTAGTCGACTAGGTTGCAGGTATCCTCGTTGTGATCAACACCATCAGACTTCGAATGGGGCACAGGAAGGATGGGGGGAGTGTGTAATTCGAATTGAACGGTAGGGAAGAGGTGCTGAGGGATTTAGATTAGGGTACGTCAACACAGAGGATTCTTCAGTGGAGTAAATATATAGGGGGAGTCATCTCCCATGATTGTTGTAGTCGACTAGGTCGCAGGTATCCTCGTTGTGACGTTGTAGCTAAAAGGGACGAAGGGAGAAGGAAGTGGAGGCCTGCTAGTGGACTCATCAGTAAGGCTACCTAGCAGGCACCGCCTTAGATGGGGATACTATTGGAAGATCCGGAAGTTATATATGTAGGAAGTGCAGTTTCCCGAGGACTTGCGAGAAAGTCCTCGAACCTCCTTCAAATCGGAATCCATCTAGTGGCGAGGATGAGAATGACGGTCGCTACAAGTATCACCTTATTTATCAATTAAACTGTCGCGACCAAGTCACTACACCCTCTCCAACAGTAGGAACCGCAGGAACCCGAAGACGTCATTGAACCCCGTGGGGGGAAGCCCCACAAAACGTTCGATTGCTAACCGTGTAGTATCAAAAATCTCGGTTTCATAATTTTCATATTAAAATGAAATTTTGTAACGGGAATATTGCCTTGCCCCTTCTTATGTATAATAATAAAATTAGGTTATGCGAAAATTGATTATACAACGAATAGAGAAACATGTTTGACGATGGTATATCATGGCGAAATTTTGGATGCTTGACTTCACTTGGAGGTTAATTTTTAAATTTAGTATTGAAAAAGAATTCGTGATTTGATTAACTGCCATAACTCACCGTTTTTTAGGGACGTCTTGCCACCAGATAACGCGCCAAGAGGCAAAGCTCCAGTGGGCGTGAGCCCCTTCAGCTGCAGCACGCTCTCGCTTTCCTCTCTGCAAGATGAAGCAAGTGGTAACGATAAGCGAATCACGTAATCACGTTTCGAAAAAGGAAAAAGAAAATAATTAACTCGGCTGAACGCGTCGGTATTCGCTGAAAGCGTTTAATCACGCGCGTCGATGTTTTGCCGAGCAAAAGTCGGCTCGAGTTGAACGGAACAGCGGATTTTTCGTCGCGGGTCATTTCCCATTTTCGGTTTTCGTCCGGGTCAAAGGTGATTAACAGCGATCCCGCGGCGAAACGCGCGTTTCTGCTCTCCTCGTCGATCGTTAACGGATCGAGAATCGATTGCTCGCGAATGTCACCCCGACATTAATGAATTTTATCGCGAGGCAATCGTGACGTATAATAGTCCGGGTGAAACTAATCGCGATGGTTATACGAATCGTGCTAAATGGGCAAGTTGTTCTTGTTCTTTGGCGCGGTTTCCAGTCACGTGCAACTCCCACGAGTGTCTCTTGAATTATAATCGCGATTCGATGGTTCCTGTAGCGGTATCTGGGGATTTATGGCGGAGCGCTCGTGGCGCCATCTGTTGCAATTCCGTTGTGTTCTTGCGGACAGAACTCAACTATTTGGAATTTCTACGTTATTATTAATTCTGTTTCATCTCTATTGGCGATATAAGCCACGAAAATGGCAAGTTTCGTGTTCACTGATGGATGGTTCACTAACCTCAGGACGGAGAAGACGCGCGCCATCTTGCCAATAGCTCTGATCTTGTTTCTGATAACCTCCTTGCGTAGACTGGCTGCTGCACCTAGAAAAGCGAGAAGATTCGGTTAGGACAATCTATCCCGAGGATGCAACTCGCTACGTTATTGCGATTCTCGAAGTCGCGAAGGCACAATCCGAACGAGTAGCGTCTAGCGCTAAAGTTACTAGGGCCTAGTGAGCTTCTAGCGTGGTGTCACTAGCGAACAACTTGCGTAGTTACTCGCACAGAGCGTCATCTTTGAATCGCAACGGATGATACTATGTATTAAATACGAACAGCTGCACTGAGGAAAAAAAAAGAAGAAAAATAGACATTAGCGATTGAACGTGAAGCTGAGACTTAAGATGAAGGATCGTGGGTCTCGATTTGCCTTCGCGAGATCTCGATCGCCAATTCGCCACGCGACTCTCGTCGCGAGGTAAATCGAACTTGGCTTCACTACATTATTCATACCACAGCTTACCCGAAGATTATGTTATTTGAAATATAAAAAAATATGAAAAAAAAATGTCACTCGTTATTCTCGGGTTTCACGGCAAACAACAACGGCAAACTACAGCCAAAAAACTCGGTGCACGCGACGAGCGAGTGCATATTAATCTCGATGTACCAAATTTAAATTTCTCATATTGCTCATCTGCCTCATTCGGTGGAATCTGCGTTAGACAGTTATGCTATTCCCTTTCGAACGGCAAATTCGCCGAGAAATTACATAAATCGCGGCGAATTTACTCGCGTGACGCGGCTTAAAAACTGTCAGCGTAGCATCGTCACGATTACCGTCTCTTTTCAACGGATATCGATATCTCCTATTCGTCTCTGACCAGCGAACTAAACGACAAACGTAACGAACGTGGAATTTAATCGAAGGGAAAAAGATATATCAAACTTCCAATAAAAACATTTCAAATTTCCCGCGCCGCGCGGCTGATCGCTGGCGCGCATGCGCCCCGGCGATTCGCCGCGCGCGAACGGTACGCGTTTCTTTCCAATTTCTTCGCTCGTTCGTGTACGTTCTCGGTCAAAGTTCGCTCGCAAAAATCCCGTCCTTCCGATCTTTCGAACCGGAACAAGGAACGGATAAAAATGCAAAAGCGAAAAGGCATGGAAAACCTTCGAATCGTAATCGTATATTTAAATGTAATTATATATATATATGTATATACGTAAAAATAGAGAGAGAGTGCACGAGGATAATAGCACAAGCTCATTGCATATAATAAATGCACGCAGCTACGTACGCGCGCGCGCGTGCACGTGTTACAAAACAGAAGCCGGTGTGCTATACGTGCGTACATTGTAATAATGGCGACTACGTGCAGGCCAACGGCTGCATAAACCACAGGTTTCCTCAGTTATGCAAAAAGACACGGCCAATGCAAGAGAAAGAGGTCAACACATGCACATGCAGGCTTTGGGCGCGAGTAAACGTACGCACCATCGGTCACTACGGGTGCTTTACCAGTCGCCGTTTCGTATATTCGTCGCTACTTGCCTACTTTCTCGTTCGCATTATTTTTTCTTTCTTTCTTTTTTTTTTTTTTTTTTTTTTGTTATAGTAGCGTGTTTGCGTGTATGTAAGTACGTGTACGTGTGTTCGAACCTTATGCTCGATTGTTTCTAGTCTTTAACCCGTATCCGTGTGTTCGAATTTTAGGTTAGGAACGATATTCCGTTTTACTCTGCGTTCTGGGTATCTGGTGTTCGGAGAATGGATATTCTAAGCAATCGCGGGTAACTGCATAGCTCGTAATTTGCGTGAGTAATTGGCACGGATGGTTTTTGTTTAGTATTTTTAGTTCGTAGTCTCGAAGCGTGATTCGCGAGTTGAGAATCACTGGTTATCGAGGATCGACTAAAACGAGCGCCAGTCGCCAAGAAGTTTCGGCGTGAAATCGGCCGTAAAATTCTAGGCACAGTTACGGGTTAAGAAGCAGTCTACGGGTAATCGACTAAACAACGTATCGAATGGTCTAAAGGTCGGCCATCTTGCGTTCGCGGCAGTGCAAAATGGCGGTCTTCATCCGATATCGCGATGCAGTGTTCACATTTACCGTACAGTTTTTATCGATTAGGAAGTAACTACGAAACAACTTTTAAGTCTCTGGATTCGCTCAAGAGTCGAGAACAATTTGCAATAATTTTCGTTCTCGTGCAAGCTTGTCGAACGTTATCAAACGAAAGAAACTTGCCGACATTACCGACGTTCGATATACCGATCGTATTCGATGCTGATTCGACTTTGACGGAAAAAGAAAAGAAAAAGACACGGAATTTTCTTCAACTATCGTTTCAGGGAGACCGAAGGGAACGAGTAAGATGTACATATTAGTCATACTTTTTAGGAATCTCTAAGATTTAGCTTGTTCGTTCTATAAAAAAAACATTTCACATGAATCGACATACGTGAAAATATCGTTCCGGTGTCGCTGTGTTTCCGCCTCACTAAGCATTCGCGAGTTAAATTTGCGGATGTCGGGGCTTGTGACGCTATAGCAAATCGGGTAATATTGTCACTTACACAGAAAACAACAGACTCGTTCTTGCTGATGAGAAATTTGGCGAATTAGGAGATTCTACTGACTCTACCATTTCGAATGGACTGGAATGTCGAAGAAAAATAGAGAAAAAAAAAAAAAAAAAAAAAAAAAAAAAAAAAAATAAAGCAAAGAAACTTGCAAATATCTTTTTTCCTTTCTCATATACATTTCGCTTTGATCTCTTTTACTCTGGCAAATTTCCCTACTTTGAACGCGCGTCGTTCGATGACTCGGCTGGAAATTTCGGCTGAACATGGAACAGGTGGAATTTCGCGGGGCGACGCGTTTTTAATTTCTCGTAATCCGCGAATCTGCGCTGCATGGAAAAGCTTTTTGCGAACGTTCTGCTGAGATGGCAGGAAGAAAACATTTCTGGGATATCCTGCGACGTCCATTTCCGCGGGAAAAAGCGTCGCGCGAAACGTCAGCGTGAATCGAGAGTTCTCGTTCGTATATTCCGCGGAGTATTGCGCGAACTCGTACCGATAAAATAAAAAAGGGACACCAAACCGAAAAAGAGAGAGAGAGAGAGAGAGAGAGAGAGGGGGGGAAAGAGCAAAAATAACAGAGGAAGAAGAAGCGAGAAAAAAAGAGAGACAAAAACGCGGAATTTATTTTACTTCGATCATTTACTCTATGGGTTTTTAGCCGGTAACGTTCGGAACTCGAGGGGTTTCAGAGCGCGATCGATTCTCCGGACTGTACGAAGTGTATATCTTTCTTGTTGCTCTCCATGTGCAAATCGAGCACCGGAATATTACCGATGAACCGGAAACGCCGTTAGATACACCACACATAGCCTGTCGTTATCTACGAGGGGAAGATAACTCGTCTTACCCGATGCGTTTTCTCGAGAGTTGGTCGAAGGATAAGAGATCGGAGAGTATATGAACTTGCCTGGTACAATACCAACGACTGAAGCGACCATCGACTGACACATTCTCGTACGCGCCCTCTTGTCGGGCAAAGAAAATATCGAAAGCGGGGGTGCGAGGAGGAGAGTTCAAGAAATTAGAAAAAAACAGGACAGACTTTTTTGACAGCCTGGAATGAACGATTTCTCCGTCAGGAGACACCGTGACCGTGCTTCTCTTTCGCTTTTTTTCTTATTTTTCTTTCTTTTTTTTCTTATTTCTCTTTTCATTTGTGCGACGTCTGACGCATTCTTCCGGAGGAGAAGAGCGCACGACGACGAAGAGAGATATCAGGGGCTCTGACTGAGGGAGCAGACACTTATCGATCATCCTTTGCATCCTGCGGCTTTCACTGAGAAGGACGATGCGGCACATACAACGACGTACGTCACTACTAATTTATACAACAGATCAAGCCTTTGCTCTCTAGACATTTACGTGTCAGCGCATGATTATGCACTCGTGGTCTGTCGCAATGGGGGATTACCCTCGGATCCGCGCGCGAAATTCGCCCGCCGACATAGTTTCGCGTGGTCGTCCGCGATGGCGAGACAATAATCGGCAAAGGAAAGACGATCTCGGGCGTATCGTCGTTCCGCCATCCATCTCCCGCGAGCTGAGCGAAGAAAGGATTTATTTTCCAAACGATCCAGCCCTTCCCCTAACCCCTTCCGACCGTTTCCTCTTTCCTTCCCGCCTTTCTTTTTCCGGCTCTTTCAGACCACGACGCCATTGCGACAGCGTACTACCGAGCTAACATTTATCACAGGGTGTTCGAGTTTGGCACCGAGTCCCAGAGACGGAGATCCATCGTCCGTGGGGAGTATCGACGGCGTTTCAAAGGATGATGCACGATCCGGTCAATGGGATAGAAGCGAGGCGAAACACGGATGGAACCGTTCGATCTCAGGCAGATCTGTGCTCAAAACATGTTGCACGGGGCCACTAGTGCTCTATATCACTGTTTTAGAAGCGTTTCTAAGAGGCGTACTTCGCTCTTCGAGCCGATGAAATATGTCAAACGCGAATCGAGTTTCTTCTCCAACGCGCGTATGGATATGCTTCTGGAACTGCAGAGAAAGGAGAGAAAAAGAACGAGTAAATAAATAGAAAAGGGAGAAGAACAATTTTGACAACGGATCAGCTCGAAGAGTCGAACGTCGGTGAGAGAGATCGTTTTGAATACAGGTCTAACGTCCATGTCACATGTTTTCATGATGGATCTCCGTGTCTTTCGACGCATAGGCGCCGCCACAGCTAAGCTTTCCCCGTTTCCGACCGTCAGCCCCCCTCGGCCATTTTTCCCGCACGTTGCGACGCCTATGGAACTCGATTTCGTCGATGCCCTCTCACGCGGATTCGCTTATCAACAGTAGGAAGCTTCACGAACCCAACGGCGCGCTCTCCCGTCGAGGGACTCGCGATTCCATTACCCGACCAGGGTGCAGCGACACCATGAGTCGCTCGACGGGGTACCATTGGGTGCTGGACGTGTTCCTACGTCATTGTCGGCTCGTGGAGGATCAGAGCTGAAGGACTCGTCGCGTGATCGTGAAATACACAGGGCACTTTGAGAAATAAAGAGAGAACCATCCTTGGCAGCCTTGACACCTCTTAACGGCTGCCAAACGGTCCCACTGTAAATTTAAAATTTCCTAATTTTCCATTCTTCAGTTTCGCGATGAAATTCGGGATACCTTCTAGTTCGACATTCGCGTCTCGGTGAATTTGTAAGCAAATGCGATTATTGATCAGGAAAATATCGATCTTTGATTAAGAATTCGAGGAATTTCGAGGATCACGGGACCCGGTCCTTCGTAGCTGTTGGATCCTCCACGATCGAGATCTATGCGCACTTTCAACAGAAAACAACTCACCGTACGCGATGGTAGGTGGGGTCGTATTCGGACCAGACCGTCGGGTTACCATGGCGGCCATGGTGACCATGGTCGTTTTACCGATGGTGAGCGTGGACGTAAGTAAAAGGACAGAAGTAACCAACAATGTGAGAGCAGCGTCAATGCGGCCGAAGAGAAGAGATAGAGAGAGGCGGAGATGTACAATTTCATTTTTTTTTTTTTTCACAATTAGTTTGGTCGTTTGTTTTTTTTT